CTATCTTTGGCTCTTGGAGGAATACGAGAGCTGGTTACTTCGAGTAGTTGCACATGAGCAACAGGAGGTACAGGGATTGAGAGGTCAAGGCGCAGGGCTAGGTGGTTGGAGCCAATTAGTTCGAAACATATTTGCATGTCCAGTACTGCGTCCAACGCCAGGTTGTTGATCCAAATGAGATCATAAGTGGTAGATCCTCTCGAGCTGGAGAACCTCCCCGGTCGATCAGAGTTGGTCCTACCATTCAAGAGAGTGAATTGATTCCATAAAATGACATTCATTAGCTCCACCCTACGCTCATCTGTTTTTTTAATTAAGGTAGATCGCTCAGCAAATAACGAAGAGCCTTTCAGAAGCTCAGGGGGTAGTTGATCCTCAGAGGAAGCCATAAGCGCATTGACATCACCCCCAATTATTAGAAAATCATTCTCATACCTCGCCTGTAGTTCAGTTATGCTGCGTTGTAGAAGCTCAAGAACTTGCTCCAGTGGGAGAGTCGGTTTAAAATGAACAGAGATCACGATAGCATTACACACTTCATTACCAATCCTGATTGAGGTCGTTATGTATCAAGCCTAATAAGCCACCGCTGCCACGACCTCTTGATTTGCCCTTGAATGCATTCGACCAGATGGCATGATGATTCCTTAGGTTGTGAGGAATCACGTGCGGGGCCTCGATCAAACGCATCGTTTCCGAGAGGCAAATCACCTGGAGATTCGATTGAAAATCAGTAAGAGAAATATTTACTAGGCCACTGACGTTCCAGAATTCAATACTCAGCACATTTAGTTTTTTGAGAGGGTATTCACCAAGGTAAAGTTTTGAGGTTTGGATGAGCTTGAGCGAGGAGGAGGGAAATCACACTTCACCAGTTTCTTATTGACGAGATCCCATTGCCACCAGACTGCGTCAACCAGTAGTTTGCTGTACCCCAGTTTTACTTTGTGTCCTTTTTCTCTCAACCCTTTGGCAGTGGCTCTGAGACAGGAGTAAATTATCTGCTCACGAGGGGTGAAATGGGGATCGATGAAGACCTTGAGATCCTTATGTCTGGCAAGTTTGTGCTTCTCTTTCATTATTCTGTCCCTGGTTTCCCGGTTTATCAGTCTGACAATGAGGGATTTGGAACCGTTACCCACTTCCGTGGCTTGTAAGGTGATATTTTCCAGATGAAAGACGTCCAGGAAAAATTTCTCAATAGCACGTTTAAGGACTGAAGAATCATACTTGAGGCCCTTAATTGACAGGTTATTCACTCTAAGAGACATTTCCTAGAAGTCTAGTTTGCGGTTTAGCTAATTAATTCCCTTTTGAAGTGACTGGAGTTCAACATTACCTGGTTTTCGTTCCAACTTCTCAATCCTCTCCGCCCATTGAGGAGGTAAAGACGCGTTCTTCTGGCTGATTTCCAGTTGCTTTTCCAGGAATGAAATTTTTTTGGTAATCATATTGATCTATTGAGTGGCCCACTCATCTTTTTTTATCATAACTCCTTGAAATTATCCAACTGCTTCCGGACAAGGTCATTATTCTCCTTTGCAGATTACTCAATGGCATCAGTCCTAGCATTTCCCACCAGGCACATCTCATTCATCTTCAACAGGATCGAGTCAATGACCTCTCTGTCAGAATCAGTTTTGACCAGACGTTTCAACTCATCGTGAGGGAAAGGGGTAAGTCATGGAGAGAGGCTGGTGGAGAGGGACAAGCTGTTTGCAGATAGGTGAAGGGGGGTGTTCATTGGGGGAGTTGTGTCAAGGAGGTGATTGGAGAAGCTAGAAGACCCATTGACTTTCTTGGGTATGTGAGGTGAAGGGGCAGGATGAAGGCACAGTGAGATAATATTAGGTTTCTCTTCTGGCTCCGCTCTTTTTCTTTTTTGTAGGTATTCATGTATAGAGCAAATAAGGTTGCTGCGGGGACTTGTCTCGCGTGAAATGGCCTTGATATATCTCCGTTTTGGTTTTGAAGCACTCTGTGGCCCAGATTTTGGAGTGGAACAGGCCCGTGCCTGAGCGAGTATGGTATGCCAGGGGTTGCTGAGCTCAGATGAGCAATTCAATGGCTGAGTTTCTTTACTAGGCGACTTTGCGATCACAGTGTTATTGGAGTGCTCAGAAGAGGAGGAATCATTCGTTTTATCCAGAGCTGGAGACGTGATAAGTGAGGAATCAACGTCTAAAACCATGATTTTTGGAGATGAATGGTAGCTCATGCCCAGGCACAATAGCTTAATTTCAAAAACTGACAGGACCGGCAGGAGAAACTCAAGGAATCGTTAAAAAGTTCAATCCAGGAGCTCTTTTTAAAGTGAAACTATCAGAAAAAGGTTACTGACACATTTTGACTTTGAAACCAGATTAAACTAATTATTTCACTATACTTTCAAATTATTTTCCCAAAATAATCCAATTTCAACGGTCTTGTAGACTTAAATTACGTACAAAGTGGATTTTCCACAATAGATGCCTTTTTGGCATGAAATTACTATTATTTATACTTACTTTTATTTTTGTTCGGGCCAAAGTGTTATTAAATTCTATCAGAAATATTATTTTATCAATTAATATTCGATAATTAAATCTGTTTGGGCTATTTTCTATTATTTAGGGCCAGATAAATCAAAAGAGATGTTTTCTAATTAACAAAAGAAAATACTATTTATTTAAAATAACATAAATTATTGTTCGCGCCTCCTAACACAAAATATTAGTGTGAAACTAGATCAATAATGAACACAGAAGAAATATTAATAAAAAAAATTTCATTAAACGAAAGTACAACTGGTTGTGTGTTTGTCACTCCAAATCACGACGCAAATTTTTCCGGTTTTCTAAGTAGCAAATATATAATTGAAAATAACTTCAAAGTCCAAAAATATTTCCGTTATAAAATTCTTTATAATTTTATCTAATTTCCGGGATATCTAGTACTGCTGCTTCGCCAGCGATTGCTCTGATATTCAATGATGAAATTAGATTAATTTCAATTTCCCTTAGATTCGCCAAAATGGCCAAAAATGGCGGCACTGGGAAAGCCAGTGACACTACGGATTTCCCACGGATTTTCTCAATAATTAATTACACTATTCTTTAATCAATCCGGGGAAAGCAACACTCTCAATCCTTTACTATAATATTTTAACTAGTTTTCTGATGGATCGTACCTCGCTGTGTACGATATTCGCACTCAATAATTCCTTTCTGCCATTGCGTTATTGCAAAAGTATACTCACAGTGGCGAAGGCTAACACGAATGAAATCGGCTTTTCACGATTTCCCTCGTTCCTCCGGGCTCCTTAGTTTCTCCGGGTGGAATCACTCCTCAGACAGCTTCTGAGGCCTGATTATAATAATTTTTCTTACTTAACAAACTACTTAAATGTCTACTAATTAATCTAAGTCTTAAAGTTCTCTAAAGGTTTGTTGTCAGTTGTCGGTCGTCACGCAGAGTGAAGAACATCCGGGCTTCGTTGTCTCTCCGGGGTCAGTTCTTCTCCTCCATATCATTTCCCACCAATCCAAGCCATCCTTCTATTAGTTCCGCCAATGGAGAGTATCCTTTTATTCCTCCCTCCATTTCTCCCCAATTCACCCTCAATCATGGTCTATTAGCACGCCTTGACGGTCAAGGTAAAAGTTTGTTGAACTCTGATAGTGGGATCGATATCCTCTTTATCGACCCACACTCGCCAATTAATGTTGGAGCCAGTGTTTTCGACAGGAGCATTTAAGCACTTCCCACTGCTTAAGCCATCCCAGAGCCTTCCAGGTCCACTCCAGTACTCTGACATAATCCTCTAGTCCAACTCCGGGCCCTCCCGAATACATGGGGAGTCCTCGTCCAGCCCTGTCATACATAACCCCACTTGTCACAACAGTGGGCCATGTGAGTCGTTTGTTTTTCACTTATTCTATCAGATCTCTGGAGCTTTTCTCTAACTGTCGTTACTCCTAAGGGTTACGGGTCTTGTGATCTTGAGTCTCTTATCGGATCTAGGGCTTCAATCTTAGCACTTAGATCCTGGATAACCCTGAGGCATGCTCTCCAGGCGATTCTACCTCTTCTCAGGCAACTCCATAGGACTCCGGGTTTCCTTCCACTGAAATGCCTTTGCTGGTGCTCCATTCTGCTTCTCTAGTCAACACTCCATAAAATCCGGGATAACTTACTAATATTTACAAATCTTCGAAGCTAATGGGTAAGAGAACGAGAGGGTATGCTCTCTCATNTCTCCAGTCAACACTCCATAAAATCCGGGATAACTTACTAATATTTACAAATCTTCGAAGCTAATGGGTAAGAGAACGAGAGGGTATGCTCTCTCATTAACAACTAATTAATTTACTTTTAGTAACTTATTATTTCCAATTATTAATCCGGGTTTTTAAGTGACCTTCGTCACAACATTGCGAATAGAATTCCAACTTAAAACTCGCTATAAACACAATAAATTGAAATAAATACAGGAGCACATGCAGAAGTATGACCAGTGCCATCAGCGTCGAGAGCGGGGCCCCCTTAGATTGTAAGAAAAATGTTTTTCATCTTCTACTTTGTACACCATTACTGTAATACTGTAATGTTGGTTTCCTCCACTGTCATAGGGTTTACCACCCTTTGGGACAGTGTGATAAAATAAGATAAAATGAAATACATACTATGGGGAAATAAGTGTGTGCAATACGCGTGTGCAATCAGCTGGCAACCTAATCTCCAGTCAAGTACATTCGTACCTGTGAAGAAAATTAGCATTTTAACGAAAGCAGGGAAAATAGAGAAAAGTTACCTTCGTGCTGATCGTAACCTGCAAAGAACAGTTTTAACCATCTTCAAATATTATTCTGTCAGATGCAGAATGAATAGAAAAAAAAGTGAATACAAATCAGTGATTCTCGCTAACCAACTAATGTAAATAATCTTTATGTTAGTTATATCAACTAAATAACAATGAAATACATATGATTTTTTTTATTGAAAACATTGTAATTGTCATCAACAGTTACAGAAACTTTTTTATGTAATTATTAAAGAGCTTTTTTTACATCTAATTACAATTTACTTCTTTCACTCAAGTTATTTTTCAAGTGCAGAATAATCTATCCGATGCAATTATGAGATGGAAAAATGAAACAAAAACTATTTTTTCCAATGTAAATACGGTACATATGTAAATATATGTGGTGTTGACCGATAAAAATATGGTAAAATTGAAAAAAAATCAGGACGTGAGTGTATTTTTTTGTTTCACCTCTCTAGGCGTGATCTTTATGTTTACGATTTTTCGAAGTATGAAATATAAATTCTCAATATTAGGATGAAAATCAGTAATGAAAAACTGAACATCCAAAAACGTTCCTTGAGTATCAATTTTCTGATCTTCTTATCTGTATGGAGCTTGCATCTAAGGATCAATGAATGAAATCATTATGTATCGAGTTCCTTTTATCACTCGAAGTCCTTCGTGATAATGCGTCAATCTGCCTGGATGCATTAACATCCAACCAGGTTTAGTATCGGTGATGGAGCAATTGTATCTTAGAAAGCGACAGCCGCCTCCCTCGTAATCCACACCTACTTGGTTTAATGCGATATTTATTGTATATGTTGATGAATCATGATGAGGGCGAAGAGCTGGCTGCTCTTCCGGCTTGTATCGAACGACGAAATTCATCAGTGACCTTGGAGGCTGTAGAAGAAAATCCAATGATTAATTATATATACTAGCGCCGACATGGCGAAAAACGGCCGCGCCATTGATGTCCATCTCTCATTGCTCATTCTCATGAAAATGAGCATGCGCAACGAGAGATGCTCATTGCTTATGCTCATTTCGCATTCAAGTGGAAGTGACATGGCAATTCTACAACTTGATTCAATTTTCCGGGGAACATGAATATTCAGAAACAAAATGACATGAATTCTCAAATTTTCCCTGAATTTTTCTGATGTTTCTCAATTTCCATAGAATAACTGAACTGAAAAATGATGTATTTTATTGATTTTTAGATGATTGGAACAGAAAAATATGGAATATTTGTTTTTTCAATGACAAGATTTCCTGAAATTTCAATGCAACTTGAACACGATTAAAATTACCGTTATTTAGCACGGAAAATTCAGACGAAATTTTTTAACAAAGTATCCTATGACTTTCCGGACCTCTACATGTGAAAAACAATTGAATAATTATCAATGCATAAATTAAAACATTTGGAGGTATACGGATTCGAATTCAGGTGTAGTATGATCCCATACTTCTAGTTTGCCGCCAAGTGCTCTAGCCAATTGAGCTACCGAGGTTTTCTCGATAATGTGGCATGAAACACATGGGAAATTCCATGTCAACTCAGCCACCCTCATTTTTTTTATCTCCAAAAGATTTTTCAACAGTGGCATTTTGAAGTACTTTATGTACATGGAATTACCTTAAAATTTTATTCTCCCACCGCGTATGATTCTCGAGATAATCGCTATCAAACTTCGAATTTTATAACAATCATAAGTTTTGAACGGCGCATCGGATTCGAACGAATGAAAAACATTTTGTTCATCTTTTCCTTTAATTTGAGGAAAAAAATTTTCCAAGACGATGACAGCGCTCAACAATCGATTTTTCGAAGAATTTTTCAGATTTCATTTTTTTTCCATTTAAGGGCCCTTCCAAATTCCATTCTGAATTTTTTTCGATAGAAGATATATATATGTATTGTGAGGTATTTTCCCAAGCGCGTCTGCGGGATTCAGACGCGTGGTTCTCCACGAACTTTCAGCGACCCTTTTGGACTCTCTCAACCCGGAATTAGAACGACGGGAATAACGAGAGGAGACAAAATGCCAAAAAGGGCGCCAGTCCTTTTAACCGCCAAAGGATAAGGTCACACCGTTGAGCCGCGTTCCACGACTAGCTCAGATAACCGCGGAGGCGTGTGGGAACAGGCTACAATGAGCTTACTCAACAATATGCAATTGTTTACAAAACACAAAAAAAAATTATATTTTTAAATCATAAATCAAGTGTGATCTTTCACTCGTACATACGAGAGTTAGGGTTGGATTCTGTACACGTGCGGGAGAGGACTCCCGCGAGCAAAAACGCTATACAAACAACAACAAAATGTAACTAACCTAGTGATACTAATTAACGAAAAGAAATAGTAATAACTTTCAAGATGCGTGGGAGACGCTAAGACGCGAGGATCACCCGCAAGCGACGACGACGCGAGAGCCACGACACAAAAGTTATTGGGAAAGGTCGACGTAACAGATGAGTTAGGACTAATTTTCCCCACAAAAGAAAATTGGTAATAAAGATCAAGTAGAGAAACTAATAAAAAAATCAAATCAAGAGGTAGCTGGAGGCTGCAGAGTGCCGCGTCACAAGCAGACTCTAGTACATTCTCAAACGGCCCCAAAATGGGCGCCGAAGTGGATTCACTACTGGAAGGACTCGTGCACTCACAACGAAATAAGACGCTCACCGTGATTTCGCGAGAACACCAGGCAGACTCGTCTGGACCCTCAGTACGGCGACGTCGGAAAATAAAGCCAGAACAAACAGGCACAACACCACCACGTACTTTACTTTTGTTCGGTCAAATAGCTCGGAGAGCGAAAGAACTTAAATTGCGCAGAGCGACTTGATCTGAATAAATCCCAGCGAAGAGTGTTCGTCGGGGCCATACATCAGCCCGAGGAACCCCTCGATTTCTCCTCCCCCCACCCGATCACGTGATAGAGCGCGAAGAATCCAAGGGATTCGACAATTTGAGTATTTTTACAATGGTTCTAATTCCAAAATCCTNAGAACAAACAGGCACAACACCACCACGTACTTTACTTTTGTTCGGTCAAATAGCTCGGAGAGCGAAAGAACTTAAATTGCGCAGAGCGACTTGATCTGAATAAATCCCAGCGAAGAGTGATCGTCGGGGCCATACATCAGCCCGAGGAACCCCTCGATTTCTCCTCCCCCCACCCGATCACGTGATAGAGCGCGAAGAATCCAAGGGATTCGACAATTTGAGTATTTTTACAATGGTTCTAATTCCAAAATCCTTAGTCCCAGAAGCTGGGACTTGCGCCTCGCGGTCGGTGGATATGATCCGCGTTGAGCGGCGCAGGAGTCAACATAATCCGATGCTCCCTCAATGTTGTAGCATCGGTTTTTTATTGAACGGCCTTGTGCCGCCGTTCCATCGGTGAGGTGGTGGGAGTTCGCACGTAGAGGCCTGAGATGCCTGCTGGTGTGCGACGATCGTCTTTCGCGTCCTACGTGGTGTGAGTCTCCCCGACTCGGTGTGTGCGTGCGCGTCGGTGTGCTGCTCCTCAGCTATCGCGCCGTCTTGTAGCTCTCCCCGAGGCTCCGCTCCACTCCCTTTGCCACAAAGCTCACGTAACCCACGGTGAGAGTGATCTACAGAGTTCGAGGGAATGGAAAGAAGGAAAATAGTCAAATAATAGAAATAAAAATAAATTGACAGTTGTGGCTCTGGGTGATCCGACTCCTCGCTGGGGTAAACGACTAATTTTCCCCCCATGATCCGCGGTCAGTTCAGGCAAGGAACAGTACATGATTTTTATCATGTTACAGTATATATTCACCTAAAAAATTATCTCAAGATGGAAGAGAGAACTAGTAAAGCAAGAAAAATAAAATTCTCGTAAAATTTGAGTTTTTTCCTCTTTTTTCAACAGTTATATTGTGCCGACGAGTGTCGTATTTTCCTCGATTGGTCGTGCTGGGGTTTCTTCTTTCGGATAATTACCTTGGTAATAGTTGAATACTTAATAATCTCAGGATACGCCAGTGACAGGCAGAGGTTAGGGTTGCGTAAAGCGACAACTGAGCACTGGAGTACCTGAAGTACCAGGAGTACCTGGCCCACCAACCACGACCACCGAGAGACTGGAAATTATTCCTGGAGAATAACTACACACCTGGAGAACTTCTCATGCTCCGGAGAGATAGTGACAACAACGCCTAGGGGGCAGCACAGTCCGGACAGCCCTAAACTTGAACTTGGCTATGCAGTGGGAGGGCACGGATTCCGGATCTACATCGCCCACTGGAGTTGAAATAACTCCGAAGAAGAAGGGCATCACTATCCGGACCCTCGGAGATTAGCGCGGCCAATACGTTCTTTCATTGGCCAGGATTTGAATGTGGAGGTCAAAGTCAAGTTCTCCTGGCGGGGCCACTGAAGCACCAAGGAGTAAAGGCACCCACGGATTGGCTGAACAAGGCACGCTACCGGAAGACTCGTCCGGACTGAAGGCAAGTGACTAACAACTTCACTTCGTTTTCAACCGCCGCCAGAGCCATGTTTTTCTATTTGTGTGGGTCTCCATTTTTCATGTTTTTCGGGGTTTTTGGCGACTGCGAGAGGACAACCGAAATCTCATCGTGAAAAATAACCGAGAGAAAACATTTTGGAGCGACCTTCGTATATTATTAGAGCGTGTTAAGAGGGATTTGATCCGGAGATATTAGGCGACGCGGAGAGGCAGCTGAACAACCACGTGGCGAGAGCAACTGGTGGGAGAGGACTTTACGTTTCTGTAAGTGCCTCAGAGTATTTCTGATCAATCTTCCGGTGTGGCTCGCGTAGCCTAACTTAATTACAATTGTCACTCGGGTTAAATAATTATTCGGAGGGACTGCCGGGTTATTCGATAGCGCATAGGGGTTATCGGTACCCCCTCGGGGGGAGCTTGTGATCAGACATTTTGTGGGGAATACGTGCATCTGGCGGGATTCCTGGTATATCCTGAGGGGAGTAGATACGCTATTCAGGCTAGAGGAGTTCGGGGCGAATCCTAGGAAGAACTATAAACTATTCTATTTAGATATTTTCGCGGGAGAATATTCCAATCTTATTTCCTTTAATGGACCGTGTTCTCCGGAAGCGGGAGGGATTGTAGAGTCTTGGTGTTTTTAAGAGTAAGAGGCATTGAGAGGCCCATGCCTGGCCTACAGGCTGGTGATCCGCGTTTCCAAATTTTCTTGGTACGCCAATAATTCAGTCGTTTTTGCACGGCTTCTGGAGGCCATTGGCTCTGATCGAACTTACCGTCATTTTTTGTTTACATAGAAGAGAACTACCGGCTGGTTCCGGACTTATTATTTTGTTACATATATTTTGTACTTTGGAGTTCAGTTTTTTTTACCTAGATTGACTGCAATTCCAGTCAAGAAGTATTGGATTATTATTTTGGTGTAACAACCCACATTTTTCAAATTTAATAGTGTTTCCTCGACTGATGAAATACCATATTTATAGAATAGAGAAATCTGTAAATATTTGAACCTATTCTTTCTTTATTAGCATATTGTAAGGCTTCCCTTCCCACGAATGAAGTACTTAAGCTGATTTAGCACGGGCACACCTGATAACCATGTAGTAAGGGTATGGATTACACTCGTGCCTCTGAATTCGAAGAGCTCTCAGGAAAGTATTTCTTATGGTTTTTCTTGTTTTCGGATGTGAGAATAATGGGGAATTCGTGGGTTCAGGTACGATATTGATACCAGTAGGGAATTATGGGCTTCTAATGGGAGTTATTGAAATTTGTTCGCAGTTGGCTCATACTCCTTTTGCACATCATCACAATCGAACTGTACGACCTCACAAGCTTCAGCCTATTGAGTCATCGGAGACACCGCTAAGATGTATGCTTCCAAATAAA